TCCAGGTGTCTCCTCTGACTCCGCCCACCTTGTTGCCCATCCAGGTGTCTCCTCTGACTCCGCCCACCTTGTTGCCCCTCCAGGTGTCTCCTCTGACTCCGCCCACCTTGTTGCCCCTCCAGGTGTCTCCTCTGACTCCGCCCACCTTGTTGCCCCTCCAGGTGTCTGTTGACTCCGCCCACCTTGTTTCCCCTCCAGATGTCTCCTCTGACTCCGCCCACCTGGTCGCCCCCCCCCCCAGGTGAGTCATCAGGTACAAACTGTCTCCATCAGAACACCAAACACGTGCACACTGAGCGCTCGCGCTGTCCTCTCCGCCTCCAGCTCCTCTCGTGAGCAGATTTTTCTCCACCGTCACGAGAGCAGCGAGGCTGCGCGCGGCAGATTCTCCCGAGCGTCATATGCGCTGAAGTTAGGGCGGAAGAGAGCGGAAGTCTGTCAGAGTAAGAGCCAGCAGTAAGACAGGAGGGACGTAAATCACGGAGAACGTTAAACTAGTGTCAGGTCATATTTTTATATTCCAGTGAATATAAAATGGATATGTGGAAAAAGTAAAACTGTTTGCATCAATCTGTTGGACTGTACATAACTTCAAATGAAGTTATATTAAACTACTTCGAATCAAAGGTATTTTATTTGGTTAATGATTCATAGCATAAACACACGTTTCAAAGTTGATTACTCCTCAAAGTTAAGTTGTGTTTTTTAGGTACTTAAATGCCCAGAATTATGAGCACAAGTGTTTTTTATTTAAATTTATTTATTTATTTTTTTTACAGACATTCAAAAGTTAAAGTTGCTGTATCTTTTAAAGCCTTTTCATGTTTCACCAGCTGTAGAATAAACTCTGTTCACAAGTCCACTGTTGGTCAGAACACAGCTGGAAATATTGACAGACTAACTGCTGTTGGGGAATTTATTTGTAAAAGTACCTGAGATTCACCTTCAAATGGTCTCTGTGTCATATTTGTGAAGGTAACTCCCACTAACAGAGTGAAGCTGTCCAGCTGAGTGAACAGCCCATTTTCATGAAGTTTAGCTGTAAACCAACTGATGCAGAAGTTAGACTTTAACTTCATATTGAGTGTTAACTGTCAAAGTACTGTCCAAACTGAAAAGGTTTATCTGAATCAGTAAACCTTCATCTTCATGCTCTGTGGTCAACGCTTCAGTGTGAGGTCAACAGGTTTTATTTTGAAAGTACAACCCCGGATGTCGCGCCGCTCTGCGCTCCTTCACCGCTCCGTTCGCGCGGTGACGTCTCTCACCGCCCGGTAAATCCACCGACAAGTCGACCGGACTGACCGCCTCTCCTCCTTCTTCTCCGCCGGAGCTCACGGCAGCACCGCGGCATCACGGAGCTGCGACCCTCCGCCGACCCTCCCCGGCCTCCAGTGCCGCGACGAGCCGCCGGCAGCGCGGACAGGACGCGGAGCGGCGCCGCTTCTCCCCCGGACGATGATGGATGTGGCTCCGGCGCTGACCGAAGGACCAGCCGCCCGGCGGACTCCGCGGACCGGCAGCGGGGACCTGTGAGCACCGGCCGGAGCTCACCGACGCACCGACGGCTTTTCTGCTGAATTCCAGAGTTTTCTGCACAATGTCACCACCAAGGAGACGCCGCTGAGCCTCCTCCGGGTTCCGCTCGTCCTCGTCAGCTGTTCGTTCGCGGTCGCTCCGGTATGAGCCGCACCGGACCTGCCCGTCACATCTGACCGGGCTGAGAGGGGGTGGCGGCGGGCTGCTGCTGCTGCTGCCGCCGCCGGGAACACGGACGGGATCTGTGGATGAGAACCGGTGACCGGGCCGGACTGTGCGCGGAGGGACGCCGGCCGGAGCGGAGCAGGAGGCGGGAGGAGCAGCGGCGGGGAACCGAACCGACGAGTACATCCCCGGCGGGAGAGACGCGGCGAGGCGGCCGGAGGACGATGTGAAGATGGGTTTAGTGTTCGGTCTCCTGTGGCTCTTCACCGGCGTCCTGCGGTGCGTGCACGGCCAGGGCGTGTACGGTAAGGACGTCCGTTCACGGCTGCATGTTGTGATGTGCGCGCGGTGGAGATGACGTGAATGTTAACGGCTGCGGCGGTTCACCGGAAAACACACCGACAACAACTTGACCTTGTGGGGGATTTAGTGTGTGTGTGTCGGTTTGTGTGTGCGTGTGTGTGTGTGTGCGTGTGTGTGCGTGTGTGTGTGTGTGTGTGTTCAGTCTCTGAATGATTTCCGGCCTAAAGACACAACAGGTAGAAATCTGAACACCTGTGAGCATCAGGATGGAATCTGATCAGTGTGTGTCTGTTGTGTGTCTGTGTTGTGTTACCATGGTGTGTGTCTGTCTCCACACTGACCACCTCTTTCATTGTATTGACTATATTTATGTATATATTATATATTTTCTTTATTTCTCTCTATCCTGTAAACTCCAGTTTCTTCTTCTTCTTCTTGTCGTTTCTCGTTTATTCACTGTTTGGTGTTTCTTCGGTTTCATCCTCTGATTGTCAGACTCTCGTCTCGACTAGTTTCTGGGTCTTTCTGCTGCAGCTCATGGTCTTCATCAGCTGCCCTGGTGGAGGCCTGTACTCCTCTACGTGTTCCAGGTGTTGTACTCAAGCTGCTCCAGTATTTTAGAAACCACTGGACTCCAGTTGATTTACTGACCACAGCTGGCTGGTGCCTGACTGGAGGAGGGTTTCCTCTTACTGTACATTTTGGTCTTTTTCAGAATTTCATTGTTATTTTATATATTTTAGCTCAATTACAGATAATAACTTGAAAAACAACCTACCCTGATACCGTAATGCTCAAAAGCTATGAAAACGGTGGAAATGTCAGTGAACTAATACAATATTTTAGCAGGTTTAAAGACAACAAAACAGTCATTTTATGGTCACAAATGGTAAAAGAACAAATTGCTATTTTTTTAATTTAAAAAATACAGATTTTAGACGTGGAGGTTAAAGTGTTGGCCGATTAAAATGAAAACATTTATACAAATAAAGTCAATTAATAGGTTGTTGAACAGCATCAGTCAGGAGACGATATAAGAAAGTTTCCGAATTCCTAAACATTTCTGGAGTCCAATTAAATCCATCATTAAGAAATGGAAGGACTATGGAACATGAGTAGATCTGACTAGAGCAGGACGTCCTCAAAGACTGAGTGACCGAGCAAGAAGGAGACTAGTGAAGGAGGCCACCAAGACTCCTATGACTCCTCTGAAGGAGGTACAAGAAGGAGTATTTGTTGGACACCCACCAAGACTCCTACTCCTCTGAAGGAGGTACAAGAAGGAGTATTTGTTGGACACCAAACACTGCACAT